AAAAAAAAAAAAAAAACCTAAAACCATGGAACTAAATAGACTGCAAATAATACACTTGTTTACAAAATGAAAGCTGAAACAAGAAGGCACAGCATCACCTTGTTCAACCTTAGCTAGAAATATGTGCATCAGGAGGTTCAAACTTTTTCTACCATGAATAATTTGCTATGCAAATGACTACAAAAGCACCATGAGTATTCACTTGGGAATTACAAATAAATCTTAGTGAGTAGGCGAATTCTCAAATACAGAATCTGTGAATAATCAGGATCAACTGTATATACATACAATGGAATATTATTCAGCCATAAAATAAATGAAGTTCTGATACATGCTACAACATGGATGAACCTTGAAAACATTACGCTAAGTAAAATAAACTAGACACAATATGACAAATATTCCATGGTTCCACTTACATGAAATATCTAGAATAGGCAAATTCATAGAGACAGAGAATAGATTAGAGGTTACCAGGGTTTGAGTGAAAGGCAGTATGGGGAATTATTGCTTAACAGGTTTAGAGTTTCTGTTTACGGTGATTAAAATTTTTGGAAATAAGATAGTGGTGATGGTTGCACAACATTGTGCATATAATTAATGCCATCAAATTATACACTTAAAATGATTAAAATGGTAAATTTTGTTATATATATTTTAACACAATAAATATTTTTAAAAATACACGATATCCACCCAAACGAAATTTTGTTTTTATGTTACAAGACAAAAAGTACAAATGTTTGAATATTCATGGTTATACCTTACCTCACCCCCACCTCATAGGATGCAGCTATGTTTGACAACTTGCCTCTTGAACTTCTGATTTACAGGATACGGTAATGGGTACAGATATTAAACTGGAGAAACCAAAGGACAGATTTATTGATTGTGGAAAGGGCATACAGTCACTCATAAAAGGTAAAACTATATATATGAAGGCATGGAGAAGGAGAGAACAAGGTATAGAAGAGGCAGCACAGACAGCCAGATCTTGGGGAATTTCCTAAGAGACGGAGGACAACTGCCATACAGTGTGAGATATTGGAAGAGAGATGGGAAATGAGCATTTTAAGAGATTTCACTCTAGGTTACAACTTTCATCACTTCTTGGTACCTCTTCAAAAAATATTATCAAAAACAATACTTCCAAAGTTTTTCTTAGGGGGTGGATTTGTGTTTTCTTTTGGATGTAACACTTTAAGACTAGCCAGCTTTATTCAGATTATGTTAAACAATGCCTCGAGGGGTTAACTCGAAACTTTAAGGAGTGAACCAAAGAATGTGTTAAGAATGAGTGTACCAAATATCTGTAATGAGAACAATATATACTGAATCTCATGCCTAGATATACTGAACTACAAAGAATACAAATGATTCTGATTTCAGTTGCTAGCTCTTTCTCACATGGTCATAACAAACCAGAAGCAAAACTAGTGACTTAAAATAATAACCATTTTATTATATCTCATGATTTTACGTGTGGTTCTTCTGTTCCATGTGACATCAACTGGGGTCACTTAGTGGTATTCAGCTGGTGGCTTCACTCACATTCCTAGTGCCCTGTCAAGGATGGCTGGAAGACTGGTCTCAACGGGACACTTTTCTCTATATATAGAGTCTCAAGGCTCTCCACATGGTCTCTCAATGCTCCATGAAACCAAGGGGGAAGTTTCTAGTCCTCTTACCAGCTAGGCCCAGAACTGGCACAGCATCACATCCACCATACTCTATTAGCCAGAACAGAGACTAGCCAGCCCAGATTCAAGTGTAGGGGAAATAGACACCAACACCTGATGGGAGAAATGTCAAAGAATTTGAAGTCATCTTTAATCTTCCAGAAACACTTAACCAAAATGGTTAAAGGGAGATCTATTCCAATTCAGATCATCTTTTGTCCCACACTGCTTATTCCACACAGCCAATTTTGTCCCTGGGGTGGTTGTTTCATATTTTAGGACCCTTATTACTAATGGAAATGAAGTGTATGGCCTGAAACTCAGGCCTTAAGATCTTTTTTGAAATCTTTGATGAATAGATAGAAGTTTCAGTCACTTCAAGGATTGCAAGGAGTTCTCTCTCTCTCTAGAGATGAAGACTTCAGTTCAGCTTTTGGGCAGACTATGCCTTCATTTCATTCTTGGGGAAAATTTTGTAGTCATTATTAAGTTGCATACAGAGACTATAGACTGAAATTTCAACTGTACGGCTTAATAAAATGGGTGTATCTTTAGCTGGACTATAAAGAGTTAAAGAATATATATATATATATATTTTGTGTGTGTGTGTGTGACGAGATCAGCCCTGTGCTAACATCTGCCAATCCTCCTCTTTTTTTGCTGAGGAAGACGGCCCTGGGCTAACATCTGTGCCCATCTTCCTCCACTTTATATGGGACGCTGCCACAGCATGGCTTGCCAAAGTAGTGCGTCGGTGCGCGCCCGGGATCCGAACCAGCGAACCCCGGGCCGCCGCAGCGGAGCGCGCGCACTTAACCGCTTGCGCCACCGGGCCGGCCCCAAGAATATTTTTAATATAAATTTATATTGGATTGTCTCTGAAAATTATCTTTTGTGCATAGAAATTCTAAGTAGGTCTTTTTGTCCAAATATTTGCTCCCAGGAAATTGAAAGAACAAAATCATGCCAAGAAGAGTATGTAGATATGATCATTTCTTCACCTCATACTGGAATAAAGGCTGTGAAAAGCAAATAAACTGAATGTACATGTTAAGCGTTCTGGTTTTGAAGTATAAATTGTTGTACATGGTTGAACAAGGACTCTATATCCGAAGCTTTATGCAACCTAAGGGTGAGTAGAAAAATGTTGCTAGACTATGTATGAACTGAAATAGTATTATACCTGAATATTTAATTGTGACTATAGAAATGAGCATGGACTTTGTTTTTGTTTAGTTTTGGTTTTGTTAAGAGACTTTGTGTGCCGCAATGTAGCTCTGGTATCTAGGAGACAAAGTGTGATATACAGCTAGGGGGACAGACATTCTCCCTATTTCCTCTCCAAGGAGAGATATCTTTGAAAAAATGGCACCCTAGGCACAGATGCTGACAATCTTCTGAAGGATAACCCCAATACAAGCTATAGTGAGGCGCTACTAAACTGCTTCAAGGGCAGTGGCTATTGGCTGGAGGAGAGGATGGAACAGAAGAAAAATATAATGGCAGTTGTGATGTAGTAACCGTAGAGGGCAGATAACGTTTGTGAACACATTCACCACATATTTTAAGGAACTCGCAGATATGTGGAGACAGGAAGGGTTGCTAAGGTCAAGATATCGGGCCAACAGGAGTTCAAGCAATGGTAATTTGAGAAAAATAAGATTTTTATAATACCAAGTGTTGGCAAGAATGTGGTACAACTGAAACTCTCATACATTGTTGGAAATATAAATATGTTCAATTATTTTGGAATAAAAAAAGTTTTTCATGATTTAAAAAAATAGAAGACATGCATACCCTACTATATAGAAATTCTACTCCTAGGTATTTGCCCTAGAGAACATATCACACTTCTAACAATATTCCTAGCAACATTCTAAATGTTCATTGGCAGAAGAATGGACAAATTGTGATAGTCATATGATGGAATATTACACAGCAGTGAAAATGGGTCAACTATAGATATATGTAACAACATAGAACAACCTTAGAATATAAAGTAAAAAAAGCATGTCCAAGAAAAATACATACAGCATGAAACAATTTTTATGAAGCTCAAAATTTAGCAAAAAAATAAGCAATAAATTATTTAGAGATATCTATATATATGGTAAAGCTCTAAAGAAATTCATGGGAATACTAAATGTAGAATTCAGGATAGTAATTACCCCTGAGATATAGCAATGATATGGTATCAGGGAATAACACACAGGAATTTAAACAATATGTGTAATTTGCTAGTTCTGTGATGAGGTAGTGGTTTAGAGTTGTTTGTTTTATTATTATGATTAAAAACTTTCATATGTGTTACATAAATTCTTCTGTGTGAGTTAAATATTTCATAGGAAAAATGTTAATGCGATCACGTTTTACCACAGGCTTGTGATGAAGCCTAAACATATCATAGATAGATAAAGCTTGGCTAAGAGACTGTCAGAAGCCCTATCATTTTATAAAATAAAAGCATGCTAATTTTCAGCTACATAGCATGCCATTATGAAACAAAATCTACAGGCTAGCTCCCAAGAGGGCTTACGGGAAGGTGCTCATTACTTTGGTGAATTAACCATGGTCCTGAGTTTGCCCTCTGCCTTGCAACCTCTGAAGTCAGATATTGTCAGCTCACTGAGAGCAAATCCTACCCCTCAGCAATGCATGCACACTAATTAAGCTCCCCCGAATAAGATACCAAAATGTTGATTCATTTATCAACAAAGCAAAATATAATCTTCACATGGACTGGAATAATCAGGTCAGCATGAATTCTCTCCCAGTAGTCACACCACATGGAAGGTCAAATCATAATAAAAAGTTACATTTTTATTTACAGTGAGAATTAATTGTCACAGGCACCAGATTATTCATAATTTATATGAATAGTATATTTTTCTCCGTGTAGTTATGGGGCATGGAAAGCCACATGATACTCAGAAAGTTATCTGATGAACCTGAAATTACAACAAGGAGAATCAAGTTAATCAAATGCTTAAAATCATCAGGGTAGCTTGACGTATCCATCTCATTGGGATGTTCTCACTAACAAGTCAAAGTACTAGAAGTAAATTGGCTCAGGCTCTCTCCTGCCCTGAGCATACTTAGATGGACACAGCTAACATGTACCTTCCTGAGTCTCCTTTTTCTGTGCTTATTAAATTGACCACATTCTCTCCTTATTGATATGGTCTTTATTTAGATATATTAATACAATATAACAGTAATTCTGGTCTTGGAGCCGTCTTCTTTCAGGTGATTGTACACCTCTACGCTGACCCACATGTTGATTTCAGAGGGAAATTTGTCCCTCTCATTTTTCCACATTCTTGGGGACACCTCATTAAAGCTCCCCCAAGTACTTATATTCCTATTTCCTAATGAATTTAAAACACCTTCAGTAAAATATAAATATCCACAAAATAGTTCAATAAAGACCAAACAGAAATTAGATGTCATTAATGAGAAAGAGAGTTACAGTTGTACCATAAACTAAAGATGAGATCATTACGGTAATTAAGTTTTAAACACAGCAACACGTATCCTCACAGTCAAGTCAGAAAGGAAAGGTAACAACAAGTTGCACCTCCCAAAAGAGGATATAAATATTCTTTGGGAAGCTTCATGTAGAGTCTATCTGGTATATTATTTGAGTTGACTCGCTATTCCATTTATAGAAAATATCACTGCTCTTCCTAGATAAAGAGGACATAATGGACTCAAGATCAGTAGACTGAAGTATTTTGCTGCTTGATCTGAGCCAGCCATCTTGCCCTGACTGATCTTCAAAAATAACCATTTGTGACCAAGGTTGCAGTACCATCTGAGGCTTTTGAAGAGAAGTTGCCTAACTGTCCCTCACAAGGATAAAATTTTGGTCATGGCTTCCTTAGCCCCAGGTTGAGCAAACCACTGAGTTGGCTGGCCACTAACTTACCTAAGCTCTGTAGTAGTGAATGTTGAGTGTACATAGCACCCAAGCAGACTCCACAATTCTTAGGAGCCCACAGACAGTGAAAGGTAAGAAAAGCCCAAAGTTAAATTTAAGAGTCAACAGATAGTTAAATACCAATACCACAGCCTTATTCACATAATAAATGTGCCTGAGGAAACAATATACCCGTACTTCTCGTAGGGAAACACATTCCAATAATGGGGTCCATATTTTTTCATACTGAATCAGAGTTCCCCCTCAGGAAACAGGTGGCACATTCTAAAGGACAATTTAATAAAGAGACTATTTGTAATGTTGTAGGAAAAATTAAGGGAAATCAACAAGGGAAGGCGAAGCATTCTAGGGCTAACAACAGAGACCAGAAGCCTCTATCAACACCCTTATCAGAGGGGGTAGGGGCGGGAGGAGTAAGCAGAACCTGTAGAGAACTTCAGGGGAGAACCATCAGATAGGAGCTGAGGTATTCAGTAGAGGAACAAAGCCAATTCCAAACCACATCAGGAAGGGAGTCTGGAATAGATGTCCCATTCTCTCATTTCTCCCACTCTCCAACTTCCTGTTGGTACCTCCCATTGACTGAATCCCATCAAAAGCCAGAGGGAAAAAGAGCTCATTAATGCAGTCCACAAAGACCAGCCTTCCAGGGCACAAAGCAGATGCAGGGGAGGAAAAATAATTTTACCTCTACCCTTCTAGGTTCTTGGCTGAAACCCCCCTGTAATAAAAGAAAGATTAACAGGAGAAAAACAAACAGATGTTTAATAACATGTATACCTCTTGTATACATGGGAGAGACCCAGGACAACCAAGTAACTCTCCAAAATGGTCCAAGCCATCACTTTACATACTATCTCCTGCTAAAGGTAAAAGAAGATGCCGTGTGTGTGTATGGGGAGGGGGAGCCAGTTATGGGAGGTTATCAGGCAAAGCACAGTAAACCAAGATATGGCTGTTATGCAGATCTAAGTTCATGCCTTCTCCACTCATAAGAGTTTCGAGAGATTTAATCATCTTCCTCTCCTGGGTACAGAGAGGAAGACACCCATACAAATGGATACTTCCCTTATAAATGTAAACGTCTTCTACAAAAGGGTAACTTCTACTTGGTTTTCAGAGCTTTTCCTATATCAGCTGTTTCTTAAAAATAAACAGCTCAAGATAATCCTTATGCCAAAAATGCATATTTTGGGGTGACATATTTTGCTTCCTTCCACAGATAAGGAAATTGTGCATCAGAGAGATGAACTGCCCAAGGTCACACAGGTACTAAATGACAGAGGTGGAACTTGAATTAAAGACCTTTGATTCCAAATCCCAGTTCCACTATGAAACATTGAAACCTAGAAATCCTACTCTCAGGCCAGCCCCATGGCTTAGCGGTTGAGTGAGCGTGCTCTGCTGCTGGCAGCCCGGGTTCGGATCCCGGGCGCCTACCGACACACCGCTTCTCCAGCAATGCTGAGGCCGCGTCCCACATACAGCAACTAGAAGGACGTGCAACTATGACATACAACTATCTACTGGGGCTTTGAGGGGAAAAAAAAAAGGAGGAGGATTGGCAATAGATGTTAGCTCAGAGCCGGTCTTCCTCAGCAAAAAGAGGAGGATTAGCATGGATGTTAGCTCAGGTCTGATCTTCCTCACAAAAAAAAAAAAAAGCCAAAAAAAAAAAAAAGAAGAAATCCTACTCTCGATGAACTTCAAGTTTTCTATGCCTCTCTTAAAGTATAGCTCCCAGAAGTTAATACAGTATTCTAGATGCGGTTTATTTAATTTTTCCAAAAGTGTTATTGGAAAATAGCTTAATATATTCTACCTCCCAGGTAATATTACTGCATTTCAAGAGAGTCTTGAATGTCTTAACTCAGTGTGTTCTAATTGTGCCTTGTGGAGATGCTTCAACCAGAGTAACCCTGCTTTCATCTGTTTTTTTGTCTTTATTTTACTTTGGGATTCCATATAAGTTTTCATTTGACAAATCAAACAGTTCATCTGCTTAATAAGTTTGAAAACCACTGCCTAGACCAAAGGAATGATTAACAATTAGTATCTCCTACACCAATTTATTTATTGTTCATAGGCCAATAGAGTAAATATTTCAGGATCTTTCTACGGCCCTTAAATCCTAGCTATCTTCCCTTTCCTCATTGGTTTGTTTTTGCTGCTTCAGCATGCCTCATGACTCACCCTACATGGCATATGACTATGACCCACAATAAAAAACTCAACGATGAGTCCATTTAAAGAACAAACATGGCTTTTATTTTCCTCTCACAATTTCTCAGAGAAGTTGGTTGTGCTAAAACCTGAGTTAAAAAATCAATCTGATTGATAATATCTCTGTGCTTGTATATTGCTTTTTCAGGACATGTATTTCACTTTACTGATTGTTCCTATAGGACAGGAGTCTGTGCCTATCCAGCTTTGAGAGTGGCTGTGTTACTTCCTCATTTCGGTCCTCTACCCACTTTTTGCTAGTTTCCAAGTTTTTTAAATAGTACTTACTTTTCCACTCTGCTGAGCATGGCTGATATGGTTTGAACTTAAAACTCTAGACAAGGTGGAGATCAAAAGGTAGTTGCCACTAAGGCTAGAAGGCACAGCAGGGTTTAGGAGAAGAACTAGAATGAACTTCTTGAGAGCTCTGACAATGTTCCCTACCCCCTTCACAGCTTTGTGCAGAGAGGAAAAGAGAAGAGCAAAAGAGTAGGAGAAATGAAGCAAGGAGAGCTAGCAGAAGAAGAGGGGAAGGTACTTGGGTTCTCAGAGACTAATAAACATGCAATCCAGAACTCAGACCAACTTCTAATGCAAAACATATGTATATTTACAAAGCACTATAGCCAAAGGTTTACACCATGAATAAGCATATATAACACATTGGGACGTTCTCTCAAATATGCCAAGATTTATGAAGTCTGGCAACAATCCTTTTGCTTTTTCTTATAACAGCTGTTAATTCCCTCTGTGACTTCTAACAGCCCAATTTTCTGAAAGTTGGATCAGTGTAAATGTAGAAGATACTCTATTCCAAGAAATAAAGTTCAAAAATGGAGTTATCCATGGGTTAAATCTGTCCAGGAAAGAAAGTCATCCTTCTGCTTCTATTTCTTCTGCATTCCCCCCAGAAACAGAGAATCACCAGTCCATTCTAGGTTTTAGTCTCAGCTCTGCAATAACTTGCTGTCTGAACCAGGGCAAGCTACTCTCCCTTTCTAATTCTTGGATTCCTCCTATGTAAAATGGGTATTCAGGACTAAGTGATTTCTAAAGTTCAAACCAATGCTACCATTATTTGTTCTATGGTTCTAATGTTTAATAATTACCTAGGGCTATGAATTTACACAATTCTGCAAAATCAATCAAAATGAGTCAGAAAGCCAATTTTATTTCCTAACTGACCCTTAGTTGCAAAGGATTTAACTTAAAAGACATTTTAACAGAAGCAAACAATATTCACCTCCCCCACCATCAAAGTCTGACTGAAATAACTAAAAGGACTTGTTAAAAGAATAAAACTTTATCAAGATATAAATCAAAAAAGTGTACCATTGACAATATTTAAGGAATTCCTGTAAAGTAAAAAGCAAATGGTACTGGATTGGTGGATAACCAGAGCAGATAAAATCTCATCCTAGGATGGCAAAAATAAGCACAGTTTTTCTAAAAAGAGCCACAAGTGAAAATTTAAACAGGAGCTAATGAAACCAAAAGCAGAGATTGGGCCCAGAAGCATTCATCACTTTATTCCATTTAATAAATTTCGTTGAAAACACCTGGACCAGGGGGACTCCACCCCCGTCAGACATAAAAAGAGCAACTGGCAACAGGAGCTTTTGCTCCTAAGACAGTGGTTCTCAAACTTGAGCATCAGAATTACCCAGAAAACTTGTTAAAACAAGTTTCTGGGATTCATCCTCCAAAATTTCTTGTTCAGTATGTCTGGGAGGGGGCCTTAGAATTTGCATTTCTACCAAGTTTTCAGGTAATGCTAATGATACTGGACTGGGGACTACACTTTGAGAACCACTGCCCTAGAATACAGCCTAAAGATCTGATCTTTTAAAAAGTAGTCAGTCAACCAAGAGATCACTTCTAACATGAGTGTTAGAACCTATCAGCAAAATAGCTCAGAGGTTGCAGTAACACAATTGATGAAGGAAGGGGAAATAAGGAAAACTGTTTCTACTCAGGAATAATACACATTAAATCACTTCAACCACACCCCCAAGAAATCTCACCTTACTTTGACAATAGTGGGTGGCCATTATGAATCTATCTGCCTGATGCCTGATCCCTGATCCCATATGCTATAGGAAGATCTGCCCATCAATACTCCATGCACACTTACACAAAATAAAGTCAGCCATCTCTTTCAAAGAGGTTTATTGACAAAAAAGTTCTATATAACAAAGGGGGAAAAGTTACCTATATAAATCAATACAATCCTTTATTCATAGATTTGAATGGACAACTAATGATAGCCAGACATCTGAGAAAAATAGCATCAAAAAAAGGGATCAAGCGGGAGAAGTCAAGACGGCGGTGTAAGCCGACTCTGAACTCACGTCATCCCGCGGACACAGCCATTTATAACTACTCGTGGAAACACTACCCCTGAGACAGAACTGAAAAACTGGATAAGAGGAACTCCGGCAACAAAGGACAATCCTAATTGAGGTAGGAGAGGCAGAAACTCCCGTCTGGAGAGGAAAAACGCCGCCTTCACAAGGCAAAGCACCTCACGGCCACCCGGGAGCAGCCCACAGGTACGCAGCCCTCCCTGGAGGAGCAGGGCCCTGAGCTGGGGAGCGCCCCCACTGTAGGCACTTTGCGGACCCAGCATAATCGAGATGAGTAGCATAATATCTGACTTTGCCTGCTACTAAAACTTTGGGTAGTACCCCCAGAAAGCTGGTTCACAAAGAAATTAAAACCAGCTCTTAAAGGGCCCACGCGCAAACTCACCCGTTTCAGAAAGCAACCTAAAATCACCAGAAAGAAAGGTGCACAGTGCTTTGGTGAAAAGAGACTCACCTGATAGGCCCTGAGTGCATCTCGGTGAGTCGTGAGACCTCTCCAGGGACTGGGACATTGGCGGTGGCCATTGTTGTGGCCTGGTGTGGGCGTGATGACACAGACTCCACTGGAGATCTCCCTGGGGCCTGCTAGCCCAGGTCTGCCCCACCCACTAGAGCACCAATTTAATCCAGCTCAGCCAGGGCAGGCAGCCCACCCTAGAGACTGGCCCCACCCAACAAGCCCTCAGGCAACTTGTGGGCCTGCATAGATTAGTGACTGGATTCTCTGCGTCCTGGCAATTGAGCAGACTTCAGTGTGGCAGGGTGTGCACAAGGAGTGGGTGGAGAGTGTGAGGTGGTGGTGGAGTGCATGGGGCTCCCACCATGGAGAGACTGGGTCCACTTCAGGAGGTCAGGGCGCGCACACAGGGCAGGACTGTGTTGACTGTGTGTGTGGACCTGTGGGTGACAGGGCTTGTCAGCTGCAGAGGACGTGTGCTTCTCAAAGACCCACATAGGGGGTTTGCCCAACCAACCACAGCCTGGAAGCACCTTCCAAATTGGGCGCTCCCACGCCTGAGGCCAGCCCCACACAGCTGCAATCTTCAGATAGCTGACAAGAGACCTAAAGGCTGGAGGCTTATAGCAATTATAAGCCCTTGAGCATAACAACCTGCCACACTGGGGGCCTACTCACTTAAAAGAAATACTGCAACACAAATGTGGTATTAGAATTTACAGCCAACTGTGCTGGGGCTCCCCACACCTGATAAAGAGACTGAAGGGCCCACAACAACTACAAGCAGCTGAGCATTACAACAGCTGGCCAGGAGCAT